AACTAACTGACTAACTGACTAACTAACTAACTAACTGACTAACTAACTGACTGACTAACTAACTGATTGACTAACTGACTGACTAACTAACTAACTGACTGACTAACTAACTAACTGACTGACTAACTGACTAACTAACTAACTGACTGACTAACTGACTGACTAACTAACTAACTGACTAACTAACTGATTGACTAACTGACTAACTGACTGACTGACTGACTAACTAACTGACTGACTAACTGACTGACTGACTAACTGACTGACTAACTGACTGACTAACTAACTAACTGACTAACTAACTGATTGACTAACTGACTAACTGACTGACTGACTGACTAACTAACTGACTAACTAACTGATTGACTAACTGACTGACTGACTGACTGACTGACTAACTAACTGACTAACTAACTGATTGACTAACTGACTGACTGACTGACTGACTGACTGACTAACTGACTAACTGACTGACTGACTGACTGACTAACTGACTGACTGACTAACTAACTAACTAACTGACTAACTAACTGACTGACTAACTAACTGACTGACTAACTGACTAACTGACTAACTAACTAACTGACTGACTAACTGACTGACTAACTAACTGACTAACTGACTGACTGACTAACTGACTAACTGACTGACTGACTGACTAACTAACTGACTGACTAACTAACTGACTGACTGACTGACTAACTGACTGACTGACTGACTAACTAACTGACTAACTAACTGATTGACTAACTGACTGACTGACTGACTGACTGACTGACTGACTGACTAACTAACTGACTAACTAACTGATTGACTAACTGACTGACTGACTGACTGACTGACTAACTGACTAACTGACTGACTGACTGACTGACTAACTGACTGACTGACTAACTAACTAACTGACTAACTAACTGACTGACTAACTGACTGACTGACTGACTGACTAACTGACTGACTGACTAACTAACTAACTAACTAACTAACTAACTGACTAACTAACTGACTGACTAACTAACTGACTGACTAACTGACTAACTGACTAACTAACTAACTGACTGACTAACTAACTGACTGACTAACTAACTGACTAACTGACTGACTGACTAACTGACTAACTAACTGATTGACTAACTAACTAACTGACTGACTAACTGACTGACTGACTGACTGACTGACTAAAAAGCACCGGGTTTTCCTGTTCACACCGCAGCGGAGCAGCCTCTTCGCTCCGGAATCCGGTTCGTTTCAAGCACCAAAAAATTGTCCGGCCAGAGCAAAAGCACCACATACGTCACGCTTACGTCGGGCGGGGACAGAGACAGATCAACTCCTGAACAACAACAAAAAGCCGGCGTTGTATCCAGTTTGTACACAACGATGGAGAAACTTAACAAGCAGCAGTGGTCCACTGAAGAGACCAGCTACCTACTGGGAATCTGGTCTTACGAAGAGGTACAGAGGAAGCTGGAGCACAATCGGCCATTGTTGTTGTTGTCGGTGTCAGCTGTGAGGGGTTTCCGCGGGTTGGCTTTATGAAGCAGGCACGCAAACGGTTACGTCATGACGCAAACGATGACGCAATGACGCAGCACCAGTCGGACTCTGGGCGGTGTGAAAAGAGCCGGAGCTAAACCAAAGAACCTGAAAAGCTCTAGCACGGAGCTTGAACCGGAGTTGCGTTGGTGTGAATGAGGTATAACTGACTGACTAACAAACTATTTAAATATATCCATGTCCAATAGGAATACACGCTTAAATTGACATTCATCTGCTTATGAATATACGAACAGAAGCACATGTGCAGGCTGACGGTCTGGGTGTAAAATTCAAATATCTCAGTGAATCATTAAATGCCACTTTCATATTCAATTTGCAATGATAGATTACTTTTTTTTTTTTAAATCCCACTGATCATGTTGACTAAATTTCCCCTTTCTGCTTTCTAGCTTGTTGTTTGATTGTTTTACGGTGTACTGTATAAGTAATGCACAGCAGGCCCGGACTGGCCTGGCCTGCTAAGTGGCCTGCTGGCCTGAGGATTTGTTTTTGTATGTATGTATTGTGAACGCAACGCTGCGCAAATGTGGGTCTGACTCTGCCTCACAGAGGGTGACTGGCTGTCTACATGATGTGGCCTGCCGACATGGCCACTTTCATACAGATCATACTAATGCCCTCGATTGGTCTCTGTGTGTCATTCAAGCTCGGGAGGGTGTGTGTTAGTGTATGTGTGGCGCGAGCGAGTGAGATAAAGCGTGCGCACCGGTTACGTGTATTGTTATTGTTAGCATCTGGTGCTAGCTAGCTGCGCTAACGGATATAAGGAGCTTTTTCAACAACAAGGTGGAGGAGAGTCCTCTCCAGTCAGACTGAGAGACTGATAACTACAGCTCAGGTGAGGTAAAGGACTCTCTGAGTGTTTAGATAGTTAACTTAGTCTAAGTTATCTCAGTGAGTCTCAAACGGTTTGGTCACCATTTAAACACATATTTCCATTTGAGGGGGTAGTGATTAGTAAAATATGCATGAATAATAAAAAAAAAAAACATTAACTAGGTGAAAAAAGGTAAGATAAACTATTCAAACTTGTTGAGAGCTAAAACTAGTCTTTGCTTCTGCCTCAAAGAGGAGCAGGGGGGAGAGGAGGGAGACAGGAGAGGCTGATTCAGGAGCCCAGACACACTCACAACTATAAATTAATCAAAAACAAATAAATAAACAAGTTTCAATGTTTTTTCATATTGGATATGGCATGTTATTTGTTATGGCCATGTTTTTATGATTATTTAAATGTATACAGTTATGTTTCATATGGGTGTAGTGTTTGTCCGGTACCTTGCTCAAGGGCACCACGGTAGGGCAGGAGGTGAACTGGGACCTCTCCAAGTAGAAGTCCACACTCCATACTTAGGTCTGGTCGGGGACTTGAACCGGCGACCCTACGGCTCACAGTCCAAGCCCCTACTGACTGAGCCACTGCAAAGCATGTTGTTTCGCTAATAGCCATTAAACCAATACACTTAAGCCCACCTACATAAATCTCATGTTTCTGCCCGTTTATCCGGGATCAGCGTTAGAGCAGTAAGCAGATAGCGCTAATTCACAAGCAGGATTTCACTTTACAACACAATGTGGACTCAAGTTCAAGGCCGAGTCACTGCCACCACACATGGGCCCGGAGCGACAATAAAAAAAACGACAGAAGGGAATGATCTGGAAAACACAACATGGCATTCACAAGGTTGTTGGGTCATAAAAATATACAAGAGGGCAGCTGAAGAAGTAGTCTCGTAAAGGAAAAGTGTCCTGAAGCAGGACTCTATTCCCTGCTGTGGCTGTATTGGACATTATTCACTAATGAGGAACACACACAAAAAGCCTCCTGTTAACTTCAAAGTCTAATGAAGTACACTTTTGTACAACAAAATCTGAAACAAAGTAGACGCCTAAGGCTTACGGCCCGTCCACACACAGGCGTGTCTGAAGCTTGGCGATTTTTTGCGAGCAACGCGACCAACAACCAATCACATGAATCTCCCGCCCCCGACATACAAAGCAATAGCAATGTTAAAACGAAGTAAACTGGATATAAAATCCCAAACAGGCGAAAACCTACCAGTTTCACCCACTGTCTCTGCCCCCTCCCTCCATGCCTGGTTCCTCCGGTTTGTATCCCGGTAAATATTTCTGGTCGGAAAGAACCGGGTGATTTGCTACCGTAATTTCCTCGTTTGGAATATGAGGAAATGAACTGCGGTCTGGCTCTCCCAGCTTGCACGCGGTTTGATTGGCTAGCGCTTGTACTGGCGGGATTTGCATAAACGGGATTTGATTGGCTGATGCCAGCTTCGAAAGCATCGGGAGCATCAAAAGTTGAACATTGCTAAACTTTTGATGCTCGCGATGCTTGCAAAGCCATGCTCCGCTCCCCACAATGCAGTTTGGCGAAGATTCAAAATCTTCTACGTCACCCCATTCAAGTGAATGGGCGAAGCTTTGAAAGATTTTTTTCATGCCTGTGTGTGGACGGGCCGTTATTCCAGGACAAAAGTTGAAAATGGACTTTTTGAAATAAACTGTAATGAAGTGTTCAAGCGGGGAAAACTTAATTGAATCTGCATTTACAGTTTAAAAAGCTAGATCTTACATTTTGTAAATATGCAATGACTCTGAATGATCTGAAGCTATTCATTATAGTTGTCCCTTGCAAACATTCATACAGCATCTAATTCTGTTCTTATTTATGTTATTTATTTTTCTTCAAATGCATAAAGCGTTGAAAGACCCTTTGAAAATGCAAAGTATTCATATTCATGTTACTATTTAATGTTATTATTATTAAGATGAACACAAATCAAGTTGGATGGACTGTCAGACTTCAGAGAGGTCTGCAGCGCCCCCTGGTGGTAATGGGAACTACACCAAATTGTATATGTTTCAAGCTTGTTTGATTCTAATTGAATCCGTTAATATGTGTCCTTAGCAGTAATGATGACAAAGAATATTTTACAGGCATAAAGTGTACATTTCAGCCTGTAAAAGCAGCAATGTAAATATTCTCATGTGATGAATAGCAGCTAAATATTGCTTGTTATTTATTGTAGGAGCCTGTGAAGCTGACAATTGAGCGGCCCGACCAAGCAAGGAGGCAGAACGTCCAAAAATACAACCCGGTGTGGGCATTTATTAAAACATGAACACATTACACACAGCCTCAATCCTGCTGCTGCTGTTCACGTGAGCCCAGCCTGCAGCCACCAGGATCTCACACACACTCCCTGCCCCTAACAGCCAGGGCAACAGAGCCTAAATACCCACACACACTAATCAGCAACTAGACACAGGTGAGGGGGGAGGAGACAACACAGGGCACCAGGTGCACACAATCCAGCAACAGACATACCGGGAGGGGGAACACTTTTCAAACAGAAACATATAACTGAACAGAAGTACACACACACAAACCCAACTAAACGCAGTCAGCACTTGTACAATTACTGCCACTTAACGCTATGATGTCTACACCCTCACATATTATTTGCACCCGGATTATTCTTAACCGCTGTCATTCTACACCAGCATAAGCACTTTCGGAGCTCTCGCTAACTCCCCTATCTTGTCAGGCGGAGCCGAGGACCCGACCAGCACCTGCCAGACGACATTTCAATTAATACGGTTTAATCCTTTAATAAATACTATCTCAATAATTAGTATACATTATATAAAATGTGCAAATATGCCATGCCAAACGGTACTGTGCAATCACGCTAATAAAGTGCAAAACTGTTCACTAAAGTGCTGAGTTACCAGGCCCGAAGCCGCCAGTTCTCTGTGACGAAGTTACCTTCGTCACAGAGCCATATATGAAGTATTTTTCTGTGTTTGTTACGGTACATGTTTTTGAGTCACTATAGGTGGTGGGCGTGTCATTGGATTTGCGTGGTGATGTTTGCGGTTATATCCGGTTGCGTACTTTGTGACAGATGGAGGGGGAGTGAACTGGAGAAGGACCATTTTTGTTGACCGCACTCATGCAAGCATAAAAGAATATAAGCATACGGATATGGACTATTGAATGTTTGCTTTGGCAATAAAAGGTCAAAGGCATTCTGGTGGAAAGACTGAGTTTTTGAATATCACTGCCGAAATATTTATGTTAAATGTTTGTATTTGTTAATTATGTAGTCAGTTTAAGTTAGGTAGTGTCCATTTGTCATGTTGTGTCAGGTTGGACTCAATGTGAATCAAACCGACTGAATGCTTCATTAGATGCTGCCTTCATTTCACTTCTTATTTCCAAAAACTGCACACGTGATGTAAATAATATCCTGCTTATATTGTGTTAACAGACAATTGTACCTTCGATAGTGTTTTTATTTGTCAGAAAGTATATCGATTTGTTATCCTCACTGTCATCTGTATATTCTTCTTACTCTTATTTCCGTTTCTATTTTGAGATATTTCTATTTCAGAATTGTTTATTTCTACTTTATGTGTTATTATGTGCAATGGCTTGTTTTGTTTTATGCTGTTGCAACAAAATCTTTCCCAAATAGGGATTAATAAAGTACATCTTATCTTAACTTAAAATGTTAAAGTGTAGCCATCCCTCTTTCTGCTGTTCTTCTGTATATTTAAAGGTCACCTATCATGCTATTTGTAGGCCATAGCTAGGTCTCAGATATATAAAAATATATAATAGAAACATGTCTATAAAGTGTTTTCCTCCAAACACCAAACAGATCATTCTAGCCATGCCTCATATCCCTCTATTTCACTTCCTGTTTCAAAAGTGCTGATTTGGGTATAAAGCTTTAAAAAGGAGGGTCTGAGCTCATGCGGGACCCGGCAGCTACTGTCTAAACTAAATGCTGCCGTGATGAAACGCCATATCATGGATTATCAAGGATTCTCTCTGAAACAGTTTGGAGCTCAAAGGCTTTCTCTCTTGCCGGTTATACCACAAGGTGAGTTCCTTTTTACTTCCTGCTTCTTCACACACATGCTCTCCAGTACAGGTTAGCTCTGAGTGTTAGCGATGCTAATGTAAACACCGACCATATTACGTCCAAAACAGTCGGGCATTGTTTCTGATAGCAACGTTTCTGATTGGGCCGTGGGTCCACATTTCAGATATTACGTCATATCGGACGCAAATCTGGATCAGCTCCGTTGTTCCCCGTTTTTAGAGATTTGGGTACGGAGGAAAAGAGAGAGGGTTTTATTTTCTGACGCTGCGTGAGTTCCCCGACACACCGGGGACACATTGATGTATAAAAGACATCAAAAAGTGCATTTTGCATGATAGGTCCCATTTAAACCTGTCTGCAGACTTCGGTGTATACTACTACTGTTGTTGCATTATATATCTTCAAGTCACAGCCCCTTTTCCTCCTCAAGAGACTATCTTCCTTTGATCAAGAAACTGTGAGTAAGTGAGTTTTACAGCGAGGGAACATGATTACAAACCATGAGTGTGATTGAGGTTGACTGTGAATATTATAAATGTCCTTACCGTGGTGCTGTGAACCGATTGGCCGAACTCTATGACGTCTGGATCAATGGACTGAGTGTCTGTCACTGCTGGACTGATCTGTGGAGAGATAGGAAAATGATATAAATATACATATTTCTTGTCTGTGAAATATGATAATTTCCGAATAGGACTACTTTATTTATCTCTGGGGGAAATAAGGTTTTGTGACAGTCGCTCCATTTTAGAAATAAATAATACACATATAAAATAAAACTCATTTTTAATAATAATACAAACATAAGAAGTTAAAATGCCCGATAAGAAGATAACATAAATATTAAAAAAGATATAAATATATATGTCTACTGACATGAGAATTAAACATTTTCACATTTAACAACAATTATTATGGAAAATGTGTTATTTACAATATATACAGTGGTGTTCATGTATTAATAATACAAATGAAAATGATATGGAAATACACAGAGTAATACAGAAGTAATTCTACGTGTCATTAGTAATATAAATGTGAATAATTGCACAGGTGATACAGCCTTAGTATTGTGATATTGCACCGTTTTAAAAGGGTTTAAGCTGCTGATCGGTGAAGTGGGTCCAGGTCCAGTACCAGTGTACTGACTCAGAGTGCTGAGTGAGGAAGGAGTTAAAGGTCCCTATTATACTGTTTTTCATCAATATATTACAGGTCTCAGATATATACAGAACATGTCTCTGATTGGCTCCAAACACCAAACAGATCATTGCAGCATTACCCATAATCCCCTCTGTTTCAGCCCTGTTTCCAAAGTGCTGATTCTCTGTCTGTTACTTTAGATGAAAATAAGGAGCCCCTCCCCACGCCCCTCTGAGAGACATTTGGTTAAAAAGAACTCAGTGGAGCTCTAGGAGGAGATTCAGGTGATAAGGGGGGGGGGGGGGGGGGGGGGGGGGTTACCTTGGTTCAGGGCCGTGGGAAGTAGGGGTGCTGCAGCACCCCCTGGTGGAGGACAGGGGATCTGCACTATCACAAGATTAAATACAAATATAATACAAAAAAAACCATTTTCAGCCTTGATGTAACAACATTCATAATTAAGTAATGATGACACCCTTTTCACCCCGGTTACATTTTCCATTTGCCCCGTACGATGGGCGCTGTAAGTGATGAAAGTGGGGGATGTTGGCTTATCAGGCGACGCAGCTCACAGCCAAAGTGAGAGAGAGAGAGCGGGGGCGCACCGGTACCGGCAGGGATTGTTGTTAGCTTCTGCTGCGCTAACGGATATAAGAAGCTGTTTCTACAATAATGTGGAGGGAGAGCTCTCCTGTCAGACTGAGAGGCTCAGTGAGGTAAAGGACTCTGAGGGTTCAGATAGTTCACTTTAGTCTAAGTTATCTCAGTGGGTCTCCAATGTTTTGATCACAATTTATGTAAACAAATATTTCCAAGGCACTCCTTATAATTATTAGGATAAATAACAACAGGTTTGAAATCATTCCAATGTCTACTATAGGACAGTAAACCAACAATATCGTTTAAAACTGGAGATATAAAAAAAATGCGTGAATAAATAAATGCTAACTAGGTAAAATAAGATATATATGAACCACAAAAATAAAATAAGTTACATTTATTTGTTATTGGCTATGGTAGGTTGTTGTTTATGTTCACATACTTATTTGATTATTAAAATGCAAACCGATCTTTTTCATATGGGTGTTTTAGAGTTGTACCCCCTAGATCTAGTCTCTAGTCATTGTGTGCTCAAAGTGCACCAGATTGAAGCATTTTACTTTAAAATGTTCAAAATAATCTTCCCCCTAGAGCAGTGGTTCTCAACTGGTCAGGCCTCGGGACCCACTTTTTATTGGTTAATACATCGCGACCCAACATTTTGAAGCACTCAAATCTATTCAACAAAAAATCCTGCTGTAATATATACGCTTTTCAGCATACAATATTAATTAAAGTAAATTTTTTTTAAAATGTCTTCACTCACACATCCGCGACCCACTCGAAACGGGTCCGCGACCCACTCGAAACGGGTCCGCGACCCACTTTTGGGTCGCGACCCACCAGTTGAGAACCACTGCCCTAGAGGATGTGACGTCCACCCCCCAATTAAAACATGTTCATACAATACTGAATACATTTGAAGCCTTTTAATATAAGCTGTCCACCATGTCAATACGTTTCTCTTTTTGTAGTGTATTGGTCTTTTGTAGAGGTTTTTCATTGCCAGCTAAAATCTTGCCTTGGGCAACAAATTGGTCAGAACCAGCCCTGGTGTCATCCCCACAGCACCCCCCATTTGAAACATGTTCCCACGGCTATGCCTTGGTTGCTGATTGGCTAATGGTTACTCAAGCCAAAACATCGTTATGACATCATAAAATGGCCAAAATCTGATCAGCTCATTTTCAGACAGGTTTTTATAGAAATGGATGAAAAAGAGAGAGAATCTTTGTTCCTGAAACTTTCAGAGTCTCTTTCCACAGAGGGGACACATGTTGATGTAGAAGAGACATGAAGAAGAGGGGACACATGTTGATGTAGAAGAGACATGAAGAAGAGGGGACACATGTTGATGTAGAAGAGACAGAGAAGAGGGACACATGTTGATGTAGAAGAGACATGAAGAAGAGGGGACACATGTTGATGTAGAAGAGACATGAAGAAGAGGGGACACATGTTGATGTAGAAGAGACATGAGGAAGAGGGGACACATGTTGATGTAGAAGAGACATGAAGAAGAGGGGACACATGTTGATGTGGAAGAGACATGAAGAAGAGGGGACACATGTTGATGTAGAAGAGACATGGAGAAGAGGGGACACGTGTTGATGTAGAAGAGACATGGAGAAGAGGGGACACGTGTTGATGTAGAAGAGACATGAAGAAGAGGGGACACATGTTGATGTAGAAGAGACATGAAGAAGAGGGGACACATGTTGATGTAGAAGAGACATGAAGAAGAGGGGACACATGTTGATGTAGAAGAGACATGAAGAAGAGGGGACACATGTTTGTGTATGAAAGACATGAAGAAGTGGATTTTGCATAATAGGCCGTGTTGGGAGTAACGCCGTTATTTTTGGCAGTAACTAGCACTCTAACGCATTACTTTTTTAATTCAGTAACTCAGTTACCGTTACTACATGGTGCGTTACTCCGTTAGTTTTTTTATATAGTCAACAGCCAGGCGAACAGAGATGAGTACTGTACTTAAGTACTTGAGTAAATGTACTTAGATACTTCCTGTGTCACATGCGGAGACGCGCTGTGGGCGTGTTTGTGTTGTTTACTAACAAGACTATCATGGCGGCGGCGGAGCTCAAGTCTAGTTTCTCCACCTGGAGATATTCTCACTATTTCACTTTTGTCGAGCACAAAGAAAAGAACGTTTCTGTTAAATGTAAGTTGTGTCCTGGCGGGTCAAAGATCCTATCTACTGCCCAAACCAGTCATTCAAATCTCTTAAAACATCTGCAAAAACAACATGCTGGGACGAAGCTAGTAGCTAAGACCACAGAGACTCAGCCGACGCCACTCCACCTCCACCTAAGCAACAGCGGCTGGATTTTAACCAAGGGACTGCTAGCCAGGGAAAAGTCGATAAAGCCATTGCACGGTATGTTGTAGAACACATGCAGGCTATTGCTACAGTGGAGTCACCCGCTTTCAGGGAGCTAGTTAGCATGATAGCATGTCCGGGCGGCACACGGCATATGGGACGGAAAACTTGTTCCAACTACCTGGAGAAAGAATATACAAAAATGGAAAGCCAGCTAATATCGATGCAATCCAGATTGCATATAATGCATGTCAAGTTGATCAACAGATTGTATTATTCTCCAATGCAATAACAGTACTGAAATGAAGGCTATAAGGGCATTAATGGGAGCCCTTTTTTAAGTAACTAAAACGTTACTTTTCACAGTAACGCATTACTTTCTAGTGTAAGTAACTAGTAAAGTAACTGAGTTACTTTTTAAATGAAGTAACTAGTAATGGTAACTAGTTACTGGTTTTCAGTAACTAGCACAACACTGATAATAAGTGACCTTTAAACAGTCATTTTGTTGTAGATTCATATCTTAAACTGCACTGTAACTTTGTATTCATGTACTTTTTATTCATGTATTTTTTCTTTTAATGTTTATTTTATTATCTTGTACTGTTTTAAAATGTCTGAATGTCTTTCATTTTTGTAAAGCACCTTGAATTGCCTTGTGTTGAAAGGTGCTATATAAATAAACTTGCCTTGCCTTGTTGTATCTCTGGTTGATAAATGTGAGCTGACCTGAATGCCTGAGGGCTGCTGGCGGTGCAGGTGGGGGGTCCTCGGGTGGATGTCAGTCAGGTGGGGTGCAGGGTCTGGTGTGGACCTCCGACTGTGTTGTTGCAGGACGTCCTGGTACGACTTCCTGTCAAAGTTTGTCCTCCACATCAGCACCTAGGGGACGGAGGGACCAGCACAACTTCCATGATTAAAGGTTTTCTACAACAGAGAGTAGAAATGTCACCTTGATGTTAGAAGTGATTGAGTATCGGGAATACAAAGACATGAAGTGATGCAGGAATGAATTAGCATTTAAACATTGCTGCTACTTATTTTAAACATTTTTACTACTATGTATGTGTACTAGTTCTATTTATTAAAGTATTATTTAAATACGTAATTACTGCAATACAACGTTATATGTTCACAAAACACCAACCTCTCCGTCAGCCCCCCCCGAGGCAAACTGGTCTCCTGACCTGGAAAAAGCTACTGTGATTACAGCGCCCTAAAAAACAAAGTACAGAATGTGAATTAAAAACCTTACCATGACACAAACAACACCAAGGACTGATGTAGAGAAACACTGGAGCTGATATAACAACGGTCTTATTGTCATATGCTCAGCAGCTACAGTGTAGAAAGGGCAATGAAAATCTTCTGACCTGAGCTCCTCCAACAATGCAGCATATTATATAATAAAATACAAAAATACGAAATAGTGCAAAACTCTATATACATTATATGTACAAGAACAGAATATTAAATTAAATAATGTATATTAAGACAGAATTAAATAGGGTTTATTACGGTGATAACTATTATATACATTTGTAAATTGCCAGATGACAAACGGATGAATGTTTATCGAGGCACTTAGAGCTCAGGAGTTTAGCACTCTTATGGCCTGTGGGATGAAACGGTCCCTGAGTCTGGTGGTTTTCATCCACGTGGAATCACCACGCTCCCCACGATACGATACTATCGCGATACTTAAGCCATGATAGGATAGTATTGCGATTCTACGATATGCTAAGTATTGCGATACGATATATTGCATTTCTGATTTCTTTCTCCGCTGACTCCATCGTTGTTTTGACTAACTTCCTGCCAATTCCACTGACTTTCCCCGTGGCCATGACCGCACAAGAAGAAGCTCAGCACCATCTAGTTCAGTGCTTCTCAAAGTGTGGTCCGTGAGCGCCCCCTAGTGGTCCGTGAGTATATTGGTAACATTTCACATTTTAAATAAATAAGTTAATTTAAGCTTTCCGCACTCTCGCGGGAATATCTCCGCAATGGAGCGAGGTTAAGTTTCACTTGCGATTGCATGATATAGCCCAGCGCAACACCTTCGTCACTTGTTTGTACCATTTTCAGGCGATTTGTAATCTGTTCTAGAAAAACGATGTGTTTTTGGATATTTGTGGAGTTAGGTGGTCCGCGAGTGTTTTTTTATTGGTTAAGTCCTTGGTATGAAAAAGTTTGAGAAACACTGATCTAGTTGATTGAAAAAACAATTGTTACCAAAAACTTTAATTTGGATTTGCAATATGAATAGTTTATATAATAAAATATCGATACTTGGCGTCCGTGTATCGATACAAAATCACCACGCAAAGTATCGCGATACTCTGCTGTATCGATTGTTTCCCCCACCCCTAATGTCTCTGTCTTCATAATGATGTACCTTGTGTCCATGCAGGGTGTAGATGAGGCGCCCCTCCACCAGGTCCAGGATCTTCACTGTGCTGTCGCTGGAGCCGCTGATCAGGAAGTTATTGGACGGGTGGAAGGAAAAACTGTTGATCCCTGCACTGTGGACTGATCAGAGACAAACACACATATGAACAAACATGTATTTATTTGTTTGTTTATTCCACACATGGCAGTTATTTAAAAAAAACATGTACACTTTCACTATTTGTTTTGTATATTTTCTGGCAGTATTCTGTGTTTTGCTTTATGCATAAATAAAGCCGTCTGTAATTCTATTGAATCTTTACATTTTAACAGCCTTGACTCCATAAATAGTGTGTTTGTTTGTTCTCTAGGTTAAACATTATGCAAATTAAAAAAAATGTAGATATTTTGAAGGATATTTCAGGTAATTGTTTTTTTTCTCCAAATGGAATATATTGTAGTAAATACCTTGATAGTGCTGAATCAGCTTGTTGGTCCGGAGATCCCAGATCTTCAGTGAACTGTCGGCTCCCGAGGACGCGATGCATGTTCCACTCGAGTTAAAACCAACAAACGTGGCCGATCTGGAAGAAAAAACATTACATGTTTCTTGTTAGTCGCTTTTATCCAAAGCGACTTACATACTGTGGGCAATCCCCACAGGAGCACTTTGGGGTGAAGTGTCTCAGGGACACAACGACATGCTGACTGCAGTGGGGTTTGAACCTGTGACCCCCTGATCCGAACATCAACGCACAACCCACTGCGCCACACACCTCCTATCCCCAGGTAACAAGACGGGCAACCTACTATAAGATAAGATAAGATAAGACGTACTTTATTGATCCCAATTTGGGAAATGTTTGTGTTGCATTAGAATAAAAGACAAGGCATTGCACATAAGTAGAAATTAAAAGAGTAGAAATAAACAACTCGGAAATATAAACATCTCTAAAATAGAAATAAAACAGCATTAAAAAAAGTTGAAAATATACATAGCCTCTTTGTATGATATCAGTATTACAACTTTTTTTTTTAAAGACGTCTTAGGAGACTGGCCAAGAACAACAAACCCTGTATGGTTAAGGGATTAAAACAGGATTATAGTCATAGAGTTAAAGGTCCCCTATTTTACTGTTTTTCATCAATATATTACAGGTCTCAGATCAGGGTTCGAGTTATGTGGGAGCCAATGGGAGCTGAGCACCCATAAGGAGGGGTCTGAGCTCCCACGGACGCAGTGAAAACATACATCTGTGGGGGTCGCTAATACATGACCAACAACCATTATTTTAATCACAAATAATGCATGTGTCAATGTAATGAGTATTATTTACGTTAACGAGGTAAATAGGCTAAAAGAAAAACATATTTTCCAAAAGAACTACGCATCTCTTGAATGACAATATGCCTGCGCTGCACCTCCAAGGTGCGCAATCTATGCCTGTGAGCGTGCTGCGATGTGTGTGTGTGCGTAGTTGAACCTTTTCATATTTAAGTTTGTAGCAAGAAGAGGGCTACTGCTGTGTGTGTGTGTGTGTGTGTGTGTGTGTGTGTGTGTGTGTGTGTGTGTGTGTGTGTGTGTATGTGTGTGTGTGTGTGTGTGTGTGTGTGAGTGTGTGTGTGTGTTAGTTTTAATGACCCCCATAGAGCTCAGTTTATAACTCGAACCCTGTCTCAGATATATCCAGAGCCCGTCTCTGATTGGCTGAAACACCATGCATCATTGCAGCATTACCCATAATCCCCTCTGTTTCAGCCCCGTTTCCAAAGTGCTGATTCTCTGTCTGTTACTTTAGATGAAAATAAGGAGCCCCTCCCCACGCCCCTCTGAGAGACATTTGGTTACAAAGAACTCAATGGTGCTCTAGGAGGAGATTCAGGTGATAAGGGGGGGGGGGGGGTTACCTTGGTTGCTGATTGGCTAACGGTTACACAAGACAAAAAATCGTTATGACATCATAAAGTGGCCAAAATCTGAACAGCTCATTTTCAGACAGGTTTTTATAGAAATGGATCAAAAAGAGAGAGAATCTTTGTTCCTGAAACTTTCAGAGTCTCTTTCCACAGAGGGGACACATGTTGATGTGGAAGAGACATGGAGAAGAGGGGACACATGTTGATGTAGAAGAGACATGAAGAAGAGGGGACACATGCTGATGTAGAAGAGACATGAAGAAGAGGGGACACATGTTGATGTAGAAGAGACATGAAGAAGAGGGGACACATGTTGATGTAGAAGAGACATGAAGAAGAGGGGACACATGTTGATGTAGAAGAGACGTGAAGAAGAGGGGACACATGTTGATGTAGAAGAGACGTGAAGAAGAGGGGACACATGTTGATGTAGAAGAGACATGAAGAAGAGGGGACACATGTTGATGTAGAAGAGACATGAAGAAGAGGGGACACATGTTGATGTAGAAGAGACATGAAGAAGAGGGGACACATGCTGATGTAGAAGAGACATGAAGAAGAGGGGACACATGTTGATGTAGAAGAGACGTGAAGAAGAGGGGACACATGTTGATGTAGAAGAGACGGAAGAAGAGGGGACACATGTTGATGTAGAAGAGACATGAAGAAGAGGGGACACATGCTGATGTAGAAGAGACATGAAGAAGAGGGGACACATGTTGATGTAGAAGAGACATGAAGAAGAGGGGACACATGTTGATGTAGAAGAGACATGAAGAAGAGGGGACACATGTTGATGTAGAAGAGACGTGAAGAAGAGGGGACACATGTTGATGTAGAAGAGACGTGAAGAAGAGGGGACACATGTTGATGTAGAAGAGACGTGAAGAAGAGGGGACACATGTTGATGTAGAAGAGACATGAAGAAGAGGGGACACATGTTGATGTAGAAGAGACATGAAGAAGAGGGGACACATGTTGATGTAGAAGAGACATGAAGAAGAGGGGACACATGTTGATGTAGAAGAGACATGAAGAAGAGGGGACACATGTTGATGTAGAAGAGACATGAAGAAGAGGGGACACATGTTGATGTAGAAGAAGAGACATGGAGAAGAGGGGACACATGTTGATGAAGAAGAGACATGAAGAAGAGGGGACACATGTTGATGTAGAAGAGACATGAAGAAGAGGGGACACATGTTGATGAAGAAGAGACATGAAGAAGAGGGGACACATGTTGATGAAGAAGAGACATGAAGAAGAGGGGACACATGTTGATGTAGAAGAGACATGGAGAAGAGGGGACACATGTTGATGAAGAAGAGACATGAAGAAGAGGGGACACATGTTGATGTAGAAGAGACATGAAGAAGAGGGGACACATGTTGATGTAGAAGAGACATGAAGAAGAGGGGACACATGTTGATGAAGAAGAGACATGAAGAAGAGGGGACACATGTTGATGTAGAAGAGACATGAAGAAGAGGGGACACATGTTGATGTAGAAGAGACATGAAGAAGAGGGGACACATGTTGATGTAGAAGAGACATGAAGAAGAGGGGACACATGCTGATGTAGAAGAGACATGAAGAAGAGAGGACACATGTTGATGTAGAAGAGACATGGAGAAGAGGGGACACATGTTGATGTAGAAGAGACATGAAGAAGAGGGGACACATGTTGATGTAGAAGAGACATGAAGAAGAGGGGACACATGTTGATGTAGAAGAGACATGAAGAAGTGGATATTGCACAATAGGTGACCTTTAAGTGATACAACACCAACAGTGATGGCAAAATGAAAGCTAATCATATTATTAGGACACTTTTAGGACTCACTCTGCAGAGTCGGTGAAGCAGTTGATGCAGTGTTTGGTGGACGTGTCCCACAGCCGGACGGTGCGGTCGTCTCCACACGACGCTATCAGACGCCCATCTGGAGAAAACCTGCAGGGAAGAAATCATTCCCTCCTTCACACTGAACTCAACTTAATCTATATAACACCTTTCATGCAAATATTTAGTCCAAAATGATCTAATAAACAACACAAATGTGGAAAGTAAATGAATAAAAGTCAATAGAATTACATTTATTTTCAGACATTAGGGATAAAAGAAGGGACAATGTAAAAACCAAGTGTACAAACCAAGGCTATAAACATGACTCCTATTCAAAGCCAGATAGCATGTTTTCTCTCAGAGATTGTGATGTTGTGTCAAATGTATTGTGTCTTGATATGTGTCCATGTTGATGTTACACATGGAGCTGCTGTGATGCAAGTCAAATGTCAGACTTGATCTGACCAATAAAGTATTATCTAGACCCTCCAGAAACGTCTCCGCGTTTTTCTGGAGGGTCTAATTATCGTATCGTATGGCATCGTATAAAAAGTATTTAATTTCCTTATAAAAGATCAACTTTGCTGTTTGAAATTCTAAACACATCCCCTAGACCTGGGCGTAACAGTTAGACATTAGAGTTTAAAGGACTTAAGGCCCCACACACCAAACTGACACCAAAGAACATGTCCCGACGGACCTGACTGTTGTGTCAGTTTCACGTCTCTGCCATGTGTCGCACTGGAACACACCGCAAAGACTTCAGCCGACGGCCAAGACGCACATATGAACTGCACATGCGTGAGCGGCAATAACTCTCCTTACCAGCAGGCGGCGGTAGTGTGTATTCGTCATTCAAAAGAGGCAACAACCGGAAGACAGACTGCGTGATAACCGAGAGAAGAAGAACAGACTGCGTGATATAAACAAACAACAAATAGCGTGCGTTCCATGTTCACTCTACAACGAGAAGCTCACGGGGCTTTCCCGAACCTGAGTCGAGAGCTGGAGTTCAATGAAATCTCAGATTTGCCTTCTTAATCGTTTGTTTGGGTCCCTCACTTCCGTTTCGCTTCTCATGCACTGATTCGCTAGCTGAACAGCCAATCAGAGTGATTATTTTGGCCGACTGCCTCCCGATTCAATATGTGGAATCGGGAATGTCGGCACGGCCGAAAAGACACGACGGGGCGGGACACACCAATCTGAGTAGGGCGACAGGACGCTCATCGACGGCCAGACATCCATCGACGCCGAAAATCGGCTTGGTGTGTCCGGACCTTTAAACGTTCTTTGTTCCTGGACGTACTGGATTTGTGTCAAACAGAACAAAAACTTGATTTCAAGAAAACTTGATTTGAAAAAACAAAAATATGAACCAAAACATAAAATAATGCACTACGTTATTGTTTCACTGTGGATCATCTCCTCCTGTTAAACACCTGCACTTTTTAAAGAACATCCATAACATTCATCTGTTTGCAACTTATATCAATATTCCAATGACTTGTATACAGACTATTCTGCACTATTTCTGTTATATTCAATTGTATTTTATCTGTTGTATTGTGTTGCACTGTTGGAGGAGCCTGTGACCTACACTGTAGCTATGTACACATGACAATAAAAGCCTTAAATCCTTGAGTCCTTGGCAATAAGATGTGTGGACTTGTTGACGAGGGACATGAGAGTTGAGTTTGTGCCGTAACCTAGCACGAGAAGTAACTGAGGATGCGTTGTAGTAGCCATATGTTAAAAGGTATACATTTGCTATATTATGTTTGATATAGATATATTTGAACATTGTAATCCTTTGTTATTAGTATTATTATATCATTTATTTAAACCAGCAATTGTAAAATTGACATCATGGTACCGCAGCTGCTTGTAATTAGAAGTGAGAAAAAGAAAAGAATCACGGAGCAATATGGTTTTTTGATCTGTGAAAATATGTGTTTGTGCTGATATCTTTTGTTTAAGTAAAGAGTCAACCAAACTTTCCTGAGGCGTATTTTTGTTGGAGTCAAGCTTATTGCTACTTGTGGATATATACATGTTTGGATTAGACGGAACTACATGCGTTGCTGCTGTACCTGGCGCAGCGCACCCAGTTGGTGTGCTGGGTGAGCGAGTAGACGAAGCACTGCCGGTGGACGCTCCACACTTTGACCGACTTATCATCCGACGCCGTCACCAGCCGCTGTCCATCGTGGGAGAAAGCAACGCTGCGTACAGGCGCCGTGTGGGCTTTGAACACTGTGGACTCTCCTTTCCTATCAACACAGGCACAAATTGAAAACCAGGCCTCAGTCACATATTTCATATTAAGTGCCACTTGTTTCACACGTTCAAATATATTTAATATGTATATATATGTTCATTTCATTAATTTCTTATTTTTAAAGTTACTTACCTGTACTATAACACTCCTTGTTGTTAAATACCAAGCAACTATGTGCAATATGTGCAATATATGCCGTTAATAACTGTTCAATATAAACCTGGCTGCTAAATCCTCAGAACTGTTACAGGAAGGGTATTTTGTAAAACAAATGTATTAGCATATTTGCCGTTTAAACTACTGAAGTTCCCCACAGGGATTAATAAAAAGGTCCATTTTATTATCTTATATCTTGATTTGAGATGTAAAAGTGACTTGAGCCTACATGGTGGGCGTCCACAGTCGGACCGTCCTGTCCTTGGAGGAAGTGGCCACCAGGTGACCGGAGGGGGAGAACTGCACCCCAGTGATCAGGTCTTGGTGGCCGACATAACGGAAAGCTCTGGCCTTTGGAGCCAGATTCCAGATCATCAGAGATTTATCCACTGAACCTGAGGCTGGAGGGAGCCAAAAAAGATCAATGGAGAACGTTCAGTCAAGACTTACACACCAGACAGAGTAGATATCCTGTTAGGGATCAGCATAATACATAACTAATGGTATTTAAAGAGGTCATTACAGTGAATAAAGTGAGTTTGTATCGGTAACCTTTTATTGTCTGGAATAAAAGAGCCACAATTAACTAAGAACTAAGACGTTCTTGTAGGTCTTGTAGGACGTTCTCGCAGGTCAGCTTTGTCGTACATTCACTGGTTTAACTTCTGCAAAAGTCCCTGTATTCATCAAGTGCATCAATATGCACCATCAAAGTGCTAAAAGAATACATCACTGTGACAGAAACCAAGATGCCCATCCTTGAAACCATGTCAAATGTATTAATAAAAGATTATCAAAAGTTCAAATTTAGAAAAACACAAGTTCATAAAACCTTTAAAATGATTCTGCTGTTCTGTTGACACCTGTTAGGTTGAGCATGATGAGGACACATCATTATAAGAGTCACTAAAATGTCACTTACATGCACATTGTGAGGTTATTACTAAGGATCTTATTTGACCAAATACTACAGAGAAATTATAACATAATTTCACATCAATTTAACTTCTTCTGACAATGGCATTGATGTGAAAATGTTCATTATTTCTGAGAGTGAAAATGCACGACACATGTGATAACAGGAAACAATTACACGGAGAATTTGTAAATCTGTGGCAGCAGCAGATATTACCCAGTTGTTTGCGGTTTGGACTGAAGTCGGTACAGGTGACGGTATCTGTATGCCCCTTGAAGTGGCGCTCTAGGGTTGGATCTTCCTGCAAAAACAATGTAGAGACAGTCAGGGACACTGCTTTCCGTTGCAGTATCGTGTGTAGAGCACAGTGATGAAAAAACAGCACTGACAGACAAAGACCTACGTGTATTTGATGGATCTTTCACTTTAATAAAAGTAGCAATACAACAGTGTACACACTTGGCTACAAGAAAGAGTCCTTCTTTTAAAATACTACTCAAGTAAAAGTACACAAATATAAGCTAGTTCTCATTTTGTAATGTTGTCTCACTTCAGAGTCAAACATATTAAATAGTTCGATAATATGTATTCATGCATTCATGCTTTCATCACTTTAATGTTGCACTTGGCAAAGGTGGGGTTTATTTGAATGAATTTGGTTAGGAACGTTTGTTAAAAAATGGTTTATTATAACTCTTTTTGGTACAACTAGGCAAATTCCTCGTATGTGTAAACTTACCTGGCAATAAACCTGTTTCTGACTCTGATTCTGAAGTAGAATATCATGAAAAAAGCACAGTACTTGTGTACCTTCTAGTCTAGGTTGATGCATAATGTGTTGCTAGTAGTGGAGGGCTGGGCAGGAAATGACTTTGGGTCACTGCATGCCTAGGCTCTCAACACAGTGCATGTGTTGTCTGTCTGATAACATTAAGGTTATACAACAAGTAAGTCTACTATGCAGTTGATATTTCAGAGAGATCCCAGGGAGTGTTTGCAAGCCCCTCTCAGCAAATCCTCTTAGCAGAGCTGCAGCTAGCAAAACTCGCCGACTCAGCTACTATTAACCCCATAGAAAGTTATCCAAGTAAACACACGTTTGCTCATTAGCATTTACAAAAGTATTAACTTACCAAAACAGAAGCCATTGTGGGCATTTGCTTAAAAAAGCCACTGTTGTCACTGTCAGAGGTAAAGTAACGTTGCTTCCATGGCTGTCAAACAGTGCGCCTTCAGCAACAGTTTCAGACCCGATGTGTCGAGCTCAGAAAATACGGCGTTCTCATCAACAGTCCCAGCGACCTTAGAAACACGTTGAATTCCCGGACTTTTAAATTAAAGCTATGTTTGTTTTTGCATGAAGAGCCGCATAACACACACTATTTTCACAGCTAATGAGACGTAGCCACCTGTAGCTTGATCCTCATGCAACTAAGAAAGTGATGATGCATTCATAAAAATTGGGGAACATTTTATTTATGATAATCCGAAATTAAAATGCCATTCACAACTTCAAAACACCATTCGCAACAGCTCTGGAGTTACAGATAAGAAAGGTTATCTGCTACGGAATTAGAAGTTTGTCTTTCCAGTCAATTAATCAAGGATCTCCTTATTGAATTGCATGGAAAAGCGCCCAGCTAATTGTAAGTTATTTAACATTACATAAAAACAAAAAGAGAAAACAAAACAAATTATAAATAAGTGTTTGGCGAAGAATAGCCATTGAAGGAAGAATAGTAAAGACCCAAAAGTGCTTCCAACAAGCCAAAAATCTTGTTATTTTTACTTTGTTGTGAACGGTCCGGTTATTTTCTGGTTTCTTGAATGCGTCCTGTCATCAAGGTGGAGCGTCTTTCGCTGCTAAGCAACTAGCCAGTCATATCATATGAAACTGCATTTACGCGGATGCGGCCCAGTATCCGCCTCTCTGATTGGCCCATGAAATAGCATCAACCAATGAACATCGAGATTGTTAAACTTTGACATTCATGTTTGGCATTTCGTTTTGAAAAGATGTCGCTTAAACAGGGCATCGGCAGTGTGGTGGTAACGTCTGTTTAATGACAATAATGGTTGTTTTATCTGCCCGCTTATTGTTAATATTGTATTATCGATAGTAACATGCACAGCGTGGGCAAACAGAAATAAATGTAGCTATCCTAGCATGCTAACTAGTTAGCTATTGTCAGTGTTATGTTACCATATCAACGACAGTGCACCTGTGTCGTTGGCAGAATTAGCTCTTTTAAACCTTAAATGTTTTCAGGTTAACTTACCTACCATTAGAAAGTAATATCCAGTCTGTATTTCTGTTCATTAAGATGACAAAAACCCATTGTTTTTCCATCTAGTACTTGAAAAAGAGGATACCGAAAAATGAGAAATATCAACATGTCAAAACAAGGCTGGACACAGGTATGTTGTCTGTGTACAGATGAACTACAATGTTGTTATCAAGATCATTATGTTATGACTTAATTAACAAATGCCTTATTATGAATGTAACTGTCATTTTTTGTAATATAGGTTGCAGTCTCTCAAAGTATATGGAAAGGCTGGAGGACATAAAAAAAAGTGAGTACCCCATGTGAAGAGGAATTAGATTGTGCAAGTCATTGTACATATTTATACTTTTTGTGATGCATTCATACATCTCAAATGTTTTGGGGTTCGCTGTAGGTTTTGTCAGTTTTTAAATCCGGCTTCTAAAATAACAGATATGTTCGTAAGCAGAGTAAAACTAAAGCCTGAATCAGCAGGAAGTGTTTGAATATGAGTTGTCTTTGACACAGGTGCATTAAGATGGCTATTACAATGTCTTTAAATGTTAAACTTCTGTGACTTAGATGTTTAATTGATGATAGGTTTCTTATAGATACAAACAGCTTCGATGTCTTCCTAAAAGACACTTCACAAGGAGCCAGAATTTAAAAGTGCCTATGTCTATCTGGCTACTACACAGTTCCCGTAGCAAATACATTAGTGTATTAGTTTCTCATACACACTTTGAATTCTTCCCAAAGGTGAACAGTTGGTTTGAATAACAGAAGTGTAAAACTCACAAATGATTGTTCAGAGCAAGATAAGCCTTTGCTGTTTTCTCTCAGATTACAGGTATCGAAATAATGAAATCTTTAAGCGGTTAAAGGTGACAACGTTTGCACAATTGGTAAGTATTAACGGTTATTTCCTATCATTACTGTCCAGCAATATTGATTTGTTGTTATTTTTAACAGTTATTTGTGTGGCCCTCTACATTTTAGATATCATAAAGAATGCAGTGAGAAACCATGATCCATTTACAGTGCTAAATAATTGATAAGCCACTTGTGTAGAGAGTTTGAACAGACGTGTTACCTTTATCCCAGGATACCATTCTCTTTGCACTATTTGCAGTTTTCGTTCCTAGCAGAAGCGTCTTAGATTGATATCTTGTTTTTTACACCAGATACTCCAGGTAGCCTCTGTATCCGACCTGAATGAAAGTGAGATTGACGGTGAATCCCACTGCCCAGAAGGTAAGTAGTAAAGTCACTGATTCACTTAACACTGTGAAAATGCATTTATCTCCAACTTCATACCAAATAACACATTCAAAAAAAACTTGACGTGGACTACTGATGGGAAAATAGTGAATGTACTCTTCCAATATGAGAGTAACATGATAACAAAGGTATCCCAACTGTAGCTGTGAACATGACAGGATGTGTGATTACCTAGAAGAGCATCAGGACTGTTTGAGGCATATGATAGCTATGTGATTAACATGATGATTCAGCCTCTATGGCAGTGGTTCTCAAACTTTTTCTGTCAGGCCCCCCCTTTGGAGAAAAAAAAAAAGTCGGGGCCCCCCAACACAAATAGTCAGGCTCAGTGGCGGCGCCAGAGATTTATTTTGGGGGTGTGCTGTCGGGTAGCTTGACGTTTCATAGAGGGTGCTCAAACATTTAGGGTTTCCCATTAATGTACCGGTCGCTACAGTGGAATTTTCTACTACAACACTCCCCACGCATATACACAGTGTACCGGCGAATGTTACAATGAAGGCTCGATAATCAGCTCGAGGCATATAGGTGTAAGCAGGGGTAAAGTGCTATTTTTATAGGTGGTGTGTGGACCTCACATAGGGGGGTCCGGGGGCAAGTTCCCCCGGGAAGATTTATTTTTAAATATTGAAGTTAAAAGCATCAATCTGGTGCACTTTGAGAGCAAAATGAAGAGATCTATGGATTCATCTCTCAGCACAGAACTGTAAACAGATTTACTTTTTCTTTATGGATATTTTACAAATCACCCTTTTAAACTTTATTCTTGTTTTACTGTCATATAGTATTTCATACCTGTATTTCATTTATTCTCTTATTTTTTTTATAACTATAATGATCATATAAACGTGTGCCTCGGAAATAATTTTTTACATGAATGGTGACCAAAACATTTGAGACCCACTGAGATAACACTGAGAGAGTCCCTTTAGCTCACTGAGTCTCTCAGTCTGACAGGAGAGGACTCTCCTCCACCTTTGTTGTTGAAACACACTCCTTATATCCGTTAGCGTAGCTCGCTAGCACCAGAAGCTAACATCAACGATCTCCGGTACCGGTATGCTCTCTCTCTCTCGCGCACACAAAATGGCTCGTTCCACACACACACAGAGCCGAGCTTTAATGAAACACAGAGACCCAGACGTAATAGTACTGCATCATATTATTTTGGAATCAATAATTTTTCAATTTATGATTTTTTTTAATTTTTATAATAACCATTTTTCCTCCTGGTCTCTCGCGCCCCCCCTGGTATGCCTCTGCGCCCACCAGCGGGGGCGCGCCCCCCACTTTGAGAACCACTGCTCTATGGAGATAGACATATGACAAGCATGCTCATTTCTGACGTGGAGCTAATCTGAAGTAAACATTGAATACTGCTTTCTATTCCTCCATCTTGTGACTGTGTAACGCCCTCTCTTGGATATCAGCATGTGAAGGACACTGTTCAGGAACTAGTTGATGCTCTGTATGTGATGACTACTTCCATTCTGGAGAGGATCACAGATACATGGATCCTGAGATTGAAGCTCAAGCCGGGGACCAGTGAGATTTTCAAACAACTACTAACATTACCTATCAGTACTTAAGGTCTCCCATTATCTCCCTCCCTGTTTGCAGATGGTCTGTCCGTGGTCTCTGATGAGACTTGGACTGTTTGTCTGAACGCACAATGGCAATGCTCTCCTCAGGCGTCACCTGTTTCCTATCGGCAGGATGCAGGAGACATAGAGATGTGTAACTCTGCCCGGTCAACGCTGCTGAGGTACTGTACAGCTCCTAAGAATGTGAAGCTTTACTGAAAACCTCGTACTGTACACAACAACCTATATCATAATAATGAAGCTTTATTTATGTAGCACTTTTCATACAGCATGTCATGCAGCTCAAAGTGCTTTACAAAATGACACATCACAAGTAAAAAATAAACAACCAAAAATTCCCCTATGAGTTTATTTGTTAAGAACTTTACAGGTATAGATGGATTGATAGATGAATGGATAGATAGATAGATAGATGGATAGATAGATGGATGGATAGATAGATGGATGGATAGATAGATGGATGATGGATGGATAGATGGATGGATGGATGAAGATGTAGATGGATA